TTGTGTGTTACCACAGTCTCCTACAGGTTTCTGGTCAATGGGTCGCCTACGGAGGCAATATTGCCCACTCGTGGTCTCAGACAGGGAGATCCTTTGTCCCCGTATCTGTTTATCATTTGTGTAGAAGGCCTTTCTCTATTATTACAGCAGGCACAGGCTAATGGTTTGATTCATGGATGTAGAGTGGCACGAGCTGCGCCCCCGGTCTCCCATTTGTTTTTTGCTGATGACAGTCTACTATTTTTTAAGGCGAATGTACAGGAAGCTACTGAAATTAAGAACATTTTGGCTACTTATGAGAGCTTATCTGGGCAAATGGTCAACTATCAGAAATCTAGTATTTGCTATAGTAAGAATACTAGTGGGGCTGATAGGGATATAGTGGCACAGACCCTTGGGGTGGTTCAGGCTCCGAATTTTGGAAAGTATTTGGGGTTGCCGGCATTTGTGGGGAAAAATAAGAAAATAGCATTTGCTTATATTGAAGATAAAATCAAACAGAGAATTGGCTCATGGAATAAGAAGCTCCTAACGCAAGCTGGGAAGGAAATTTTATTGAAAAGTGTAGCCCAGGCAATGCCTACCTTTTCAATGAGTGTATTTTTGTTGCCAATATCTGTTTGCTCTGCTATTGAGCGCACAATGAACCGATATTGGTGGGGCTCAGGGACGGACCGTGGTATTCATTGGAAGTCTTGGGATAAACTATGTATCCCAAAGAAATATGGAGGTCTGGGGTTTAAGGATTTAAGAGCATTTAATTTGGCTATGGTAGGAAAACAAGCATGGAAGTTTCTTACCAATCCTGAGTCCTTGGTGGCCCGCATTTATAAAGCTAGGTATTTTCATGACCGCCCATTTAATGAAGCATGTCTAGGGAATAATCCTAGCTATTGTTGGAGGAGTATTATGGCAGCCAAGGACCTAATAATTGGTGGGGTAAGACGCCGGGTTGGAAATGGTAACTCAACGCAAATATGGAAAGACCCTTGGTTACAGGATGAAATGGATCCTATGATCCAAACGGAGATGCCGCCACAACTAATAGATGCAAAGGTTTCTGGTTTAATTGATCAGTCGACTGGTACATGGGACCCATATATTTTATCTGATATTTTTGACCCAAGTGATGTGCCAAGAATATTGAAAATACCTATCTCCCCGGAATATGATGATACATGGTATTGGTATGATGACCCCAATGGATGCTACTCGGTCAAGAGTGGATACAGGCACGTAGTGGGTATTTATGAGAGTAGCCCGGGCTTTGATAAATGGGACGCTATATGGAAGCTACGAATACCACCCAAATGGAGAATGTTTTTATGGAGAGCTATAAGTAATATCCTTCCTACAACCAACAACTTGCTTATAAAGAGAGTGGATGTTGATCCGATATGTGCCATGTGTGGATTAGTAAATGAGGATGTTATGCACTCATTGGTCTTGTGTGATTATGCAAAGTCCATTTGGACCCAATCTGGCCTTCCGTTACCCCATGTTACCACAAATATTTTTCATGAATGGTTTAGGACAATCTTGAATGTTCTAGACTCTAATGAAATGTTATTTGCAGCTGGAATTCTATACAATATTTGGAGAGCCCGGAACGGAGCAGTATGGGATGCATGCTTACACTTGCCGAGAAGAGTTGTGTTATCAACTCGAACCATGGTGGATGCATGGCTAGCAGTACGTGGTGTCACCGCCCAACGCACAAGCCAACACACTGCTATATTGCCGACCGAGATCATTGCCGCCCCACTGCCCAGTTCGGCAGCTGCGACTGTCTCGCCAGCAGCGCTGCCACACTCGTCCACACGCCAGGAACACTCCGCATACCCGAAGCAATGTTACGTGGACGCGGGATACAATGCAGATATGAAGATAGCCACAGCCGGAGTCCTATTACTAGACCATATTGGAAGATATGTATCAGCTTACTGTGTGCCACCACAAGCGTGTTTCTCACCTCTTATGGCCGAGACCCTAGCATGTAAGGAAGCGTTATCATGGCTCAAACAACGTGGTGAACAATTGATTCAAATCTTTACGGACTGTCAGACGTTGCGAACCAACCTCGAGTCTTCTATCCAACCTCGATCTTATCTTGGCTATGCCCTTGATGAATGCAGACGCCTTATAGCTACTTTTAATTTCGTTTCAGTTATATTTATTCCTAGATCACAGAACGTTATGGCACACGACTTAGCATCAGATGCTTTTAATTATTCTACAGCTATGTACTGGGATGGGATCCCGCCTGACTCGATTTCAATTCATATATAAATGCAACCACATTGGTTTTTTCAAAAAAATGATTTTCATCACACTTTTTTAGACTTTGTTGGTCTTATATTACAAACATTTATGATCATTTAATAATTTTTGCACTTTAATTTTTTTAAAAGAGTCTACAAAAGTTATTTAAATTTTAAATTAAATACAATATTGCAAATTTAAAAACTATTATAATTTCAATATAAGAATTAAAGCATTCATTTTGTTAGTACACCTAGTATTTCACGCATCCAATACACGAAAAAGTTATGTTATTATGAATTTAAATAAATAATTAGAAAATGTTAAAATGTACAATATAGTTAGATTTCTCATATACTTGATTAGATATATATTTTAATAATATACAATTAAAAATAAAATTTTGTATGATTAGAATAGTCCTTAATTATGTACATATTTAGATAAATTTATAATAAAAAATTACATAATTAAATTGATTTATTCCTAATTGCATTCCGCACGTGCCCGCACGCGCGCACACACATACACAACACGAGATCAATTTATATTTATTACACACTTTCAAGTTTGCAATACTTGTAAAATTAACCCCACCATTTTCTCCTTTATTTTTCAGTAACTCTCTGGCGTTGATCTACCCAAATGGATATATCAGATCATCCTCACTTTTTTTTTTTTCTTCAGAACATGTTCTCACTTGAACCCTCACACACACACACAAAATGAGAATAACAGCAAAAGGTGAGGACAAATCATCAATGTTCAACAATGATTTATGATTTTAGTAAAAAAAAAAAAAAAAATACACACACACACAACGTTTATTTTATAATTATTGCAAACTTTCATGTTTGTAATATTTATAAAGCTGACATCGTCCATTTTTTCCTTGTTTTTAGGCCTTCAGTAACCTTCAACCATTGATCTACCCAAATAGATGGATCAAATCAGTCCTTACAATAAAATCACAATTCAATTCCTATTAAAAGTCTAGCCACTCATTGTAGCTTGGAGAATCATCATTGCATCAAGGATCAACTAAGCAAAGCAATTAAAGTAAGAAAGCAAGTAAAGATTACTAAACTTGATTGCAATAGAGATTCAATCTACAATTGTTTCTTAGATTGAGAAGTGTGTCAAACTTCCCTCACCAAGAGATCTTCAATTCAAGAGTTGAGAGACTAGAGAGAGAAAACCTAGCTTAGAACTAAATTGTAAAATTTGAAAAGTTGTAAAATGATAATGTGATGTCACTAAAATATCTAATCTAGCTTTAAATAGTTTTTTCCTCCAAAATGCACTTTGAATTCTCGCGCTGCTCTGCATCCACGAGCCGTGGCCCGCTTGTGGATCGCGTCGTTGAAACATTCTGTTCTCAATCAATGAAGGCTCCACGATCGTGGATCACGTCGTGGAGACCTACTATTCTCAATCCACGACTGCCCAACAATCGTGGATCCTTCCTCTTGAAAGGGCCCGCCTTGCTCTATTCTTGTGGATCCTTCCTCTTGACCGAGATGGTTCTTAGTAGAAAGGAACATGAGTCTAATGCTCAAACTGTTCAACAAAAATTACAATTTTTTTTTCTCGAATTTTAAGTAGTCCCTTGATGAAGTCCATTGAAATATTTGTCCATAAATGAGTTGGGAATGGTAGTGGTTACAACTTACAACACCCATGTTGGGTGTAAGTTTTCCCATTTATTTTGTTGACATGTGGAGAAATTAGATATGAGATTCATTACCATACAACTTAATCCCGGTCAACGAAAATCACACGCGGATGCAATGGATCGTTTTTGTATTCCTTTGTGATTGTTGTTGTGAGTCTCCTATAAAATATGTTGAATAAGTTTCGAGTTTAGAACAATTATTAAAATGAGCCACTGGCGCACCTCTCCTAATTATTGTCCATTTATTATGGAATAATCTTTTTTAGAGGGACAATTTGACATATTTCTGCCAAATCCTTCTATTATATACACCTCTGCATATAGATTAGATTGTCGAAGGTGAAAGCATTATTGGTTTCTCCCTTCCCATTCTTTAAGGAAATAGATCGACAAAGGCTTGGAGAAGTTCGATTGGAAAAGAAATAGACGTAGATAAGACATTGCTTGCTAGGCAAGAGGATAACAAGTTACAAATTCTGTCTCGGCAGGATATGGATATGTACAAAATATTTTATACTCTATATTTATTTTACAAAAGAGAAACTATTTGTTCCTTCATTAAGAGTTGAGACAAAAAAATCTTCTAAGACATTATTAACGGTAAGATGAGACAAAAAACCTTCTAAGACATTACTAATGGTAAGAAGTATTATTCAAGACTTGTTTTCCAAACATAGATATAAGAAAATTGATAATAACTTATGTAAGATCGTCTTACGGGTCTTAATTTATGAAATGAGTCAAATATTTGATTAATGTAGTTAAAGATTTAACTCATTAATCAAAGATCTAATCCGTCTCACATATTGAGACCCTTGAGACGATCTCATACAAATATTACCCAAAAAAATTTGATTCATATCACAAACATAGAAAGATTAGATTATATAATTTGACGAAGGTTTTTTTTGTCCTCGAAACAATATTCACTTTTGTCTTTTAGGCTGCGTGTGACATCAAGGTGGGCATCATTGATAGTCCACTTCTCTAGTTCTCTTGCCACGTATTCAGCGGGACCCGCCTTGATATTTAGCTCATTATCCATTTGGTAAGGGAAAAATTCAGCCCCGCGCACTTTAGCAAGAAACCTAGCCGACTGTCTAACCGTTCTTCACTTCAAATCTCACTGCGCCGTTATTTCTGCAAAAAACCGTTGGATCAGTTCTCTTTCTCATAGCACATCTAAAGGGTGGAGATCGGAGAAGCTTTCAGCTGATTGAGAATGGTTTCTGGCAGATGGATAGAGAGTGGAGTGGATCTGTGGAAGGACAAGGCTCGATCGCTGCAGTTTCGCCTCCGAGACCGTCTCAGAGTCGCCGTCGATCACCACCGTCGCCGCCCGAAGATATCAGACGGTTACTTCGCCTCCACTGTGCAGAGATGGGCCCAGCGGTTTAGCGATTTCCGTCAGGAGTCTCTGCCTTCGTCTTCCAAATTCTACCGCAAAAGAGGTCTATCTCTGCCCCTGTAATTTGTCGAATATGCATCAACATGGTTGGAATCTCAGTATTTGCTGAATATGTGATTCTAGAAATGTCGGTTCTGGTCCTGATGCCTTTCATTTACTCTATATATCAGATCACGCTGTCTATTTAGCTACAAATTTGTTTCAAAAGCATTTACTTTCTATTAACTGCTCCCAATGGAACTAGGGAATGTAGCACTGTAGGGTATTTAATCGGTATTATTGCTTTTCATTAATGATTCCTTCATTAATAATTCCTGTTATGGCTTTTGGGAGTTGGATTAAATTCATTGTCCATATTAAATATTAATACGAAGATGATCACTTTAATTTTCTTATTTTTGAATAAATTTAGTACTCTATTAATACAAACTTGAAAAATAACAAAGTATAGTTGCAAACTCAGGGAAATAAAATGCCAAAATAATCTTGAGAAGAATTAATAATAATATACAAGGAATCTCAGTTGAGAGAAGAATCAGAAGATTGGTCTGTTTTGCATGTATGGTTAAGGTGAATTGTTACTGTTGCGGGCCTCCTGATGACAACTATATCAATATAGAACACTTTTGGTGCCATGGTTTCCAAGCTCTTAATTATGCCTTGTATAATAAACAATATTTAAACTACATGGAATCAGTTAGTGAATTTGATAACATATTCTGAAAGAGTTTAGTGCAATTATGCCTCGGTATTTGCCTTTTAATAGTCAACATTTCTTTTAAACGTAGCTTATAGAATTCTTGTGATCTTGTCTATGTAATTTTAATTCCATTATGTGCCTGATCTTTTCACTTCAGTACTTGTCCTTTCTTCATCCTTTCCTTTTGTTAAATGTACAATATTGGATCTTATGCCTGCAGTTAGCAAGGATGTGGATCCAGAAACTGATTCAGTCCTGACACGTATGCTTCAAGCTGTTGCTGTTCCTCTTCTTGGAAATGTTTGCCATGTATTTATGCATGGCCTTAATCAAGTTCAGGTAAGTTTTACGCCCATTTGCTTTTAGATAAATGGTAGTGGAATTGTTTGTTATCAGGAGAGTAAGTTAGCAATCATTACAGATATATGGTGCTGAGAAATTACATCATGCTGTGCTCAATCGGCCAGGGGACAAGCCTTTAATTACAGTAAGATTTTGTCATTTAACAACTATAGGGATCAAACGTCTGTGTCCAAAAATTGCACATTCTGTTCTTATTTCAATATTATGCCTCGTGGTGATTCAAAATTGCACTTGAACTAATTTTAGGTCAGCAATCACGTTGCTTCTATGGATGATCCACTGGTCATTGCTGCATTGCTTCCTCCAAGTGTTATTTTCGATGCTCAAACTTTAAGATGGACACTATGTGCAACCGATCGATGCTTCAAAAATCCAGCAACGTCGGCATTCTTCAAATCTGTTAAAGTCCTACCAGTTTCCCGTGGTGATGGAATTTATCAAAAGGTACTTTCAGTGCTCATATGATGGCGGGGGATGTTAACTCTATATTTAGTAAATGTAAAGTTAAAAGTTCTCATATCTGATGTCTTTGAAAGTTTGTGGCTTATAATCTCTGGAGATGTATTAGTGAATATAGATTTGTAAGCCTTCTATCAACACTGAAGCATGTCTTTTCATGGTTAAGTGCTTTTTAGAGTAAATATATTTGATTGATTGTAATTTTTTAGTTTAGATATATTCTAGTCTCATATGATGGTGGCTTGAACCTTGTCCGGTTAGGTTTTGTATGTGATATGGTATATGAGTCTCAATTTCATATTGTCTTATGACTATTTAAGAACCAAAAAGCTAACTAAATATTTTCTGAACAATTTTGAGATAATATCACCAGATTACCAAATGAAATTATGAGATACGTATTTTGTTTGTCACAAAAATATGCGAACCAACTTGCACTCTTGCTTTTGCTATGCTTTTATAAATTAGTAAAACTTGGCATTTCTAACCTATTGAACAATCATGCATTGTATTTGAAGTATCTTTGTTCTACTTTGTCATCAAATCATTTTATATTCTGGAACTCTCAAGTGTCTCTCAGAGCATCACATGGACAAAGACACTTCAGAGCTTATTGCTAATTCTATTTCTTTGCTTTGCCATAGGGTATGGACATGGCTATTTCAAAACTCAACCGTGGTGGATGGGTTCACATATTCCCAGAAGGTAGTCGTTCTCGAGATGGTGGGAAAACCATGGGTTCTGCAAAAAGAGGCATTGGAAGGTATGATTATTGGACCAAGGGTAAATATTTTGTGAAAGTGGATGCTAATTACAAAAACTTCAAAATTCCTGTTATTGTTAAAAATATTTAGGCCCTGTTTGGTAAAATTGCTGTTAGCTGATAGCTGTTAGTTGTTAGCTGATAGCTGTTAGTTGTTAGCTGATTGTGTTAATTAGAGGGTATAAATAGTTGATAACATTAGCTGATTGTAGAAAAGTGTTTGGTAAATTAGCTGTTAGCTGATAGTTGTTTGGTATAATTTCTTTTCTCAAAAAGCTAATTGAAAAAGTTACTTGGAGTAGCATTTTGAATTTTAGCCTTTTGGAGTTGCAAAAAGCTAATTAATCAAACATTTATATTGATATTTTAACTAAATCAAACAATTAATAGTGGTCAAATAAGCCAAAATTGGCCTATAGGCCAATTTTTTACCAAACAGGGCCTTAATCTAAAGCAGTAAAGCATAGGAGTTCGCAACTTCGCATGACCATGAGAAGAATGATTTTATCTTCGCTATCCATCCCCCTCCCCTAAAAGAACAAACATAAATAAGAGGAATTTGAGCTTGAACCCTTTAGAAGATAGCATCCATCATTGTTATTCAAGTAAGGCTGCTATTTTCTTCCTTGTTAAGTTTGATATGCAAAACAGTCTTGTTATCAGATTTGGTTTGAGACTTGGGTAGTCTGATTATACAAAGGAGTACAGTGGTGACACAAACAAACTGGTTTTAGAGTCCCTTCCTTCTATTTCTATCAGCCACACTTCTGCAGAGTGCAGATTGTGGTTGGTTCATTTTCAGTCAACCTTATACTTTTTCTTTCATGTATTCAAGAGCTAAGAGATCTGCTAATATTTTGATAGGTTGGTCCTGGATGCTGACTGTATACCAATAGTTGTCCCATTTGTGCATACTGGCATGCAAGAAATAATGCCTATTGGAGCCAAGTTTCCCAGGATTGGCAAGACGGTACGTCTCTGTGCTCATGTAGCTGCTTAAAGTTGTAAATACTGACCACTTCACAACAATCCTTCTTTTGCATGAAAAATGGGTATGGGGGGAGATTTAATATTATGGTTTTCTTGATATGTGATTATGAAGGTCTTTCAGGAATGCTGATCATAGCATCCTAAGGAACCGGGACAAACTGACACAGTTAGATTTCATTTTTTAAGCATTCTAATTTTATGTTTTGTGTGTATGTGCTTGTGCTCTAAAGAGATCTTTTTTTGTTGGGGAATGATTTAGGTGGTTGCCCTATTTATCTTGTTTTATTTTATTAGCATCCAACAGTTTTTGTCAATTTAAACACTTAAGTGTAATATACCAGCTTCTGGATCATATTCAATTTGATAACTTTATAGGTGACTGTGCTTGTTGGTGATCCCATTGAATTTGATGACCTTATTGCTGCGGAGGGGGAGCAGAACATATCAAGAGGAAAGCTCTATGATGCCGTGTCTGAAAGAATTGGTGATCGATTACAGAAGCTAAAAGCACAAGTTGACAGATTAGCGGCTAATAAGCAATCACAGGAGTATCATGTTCCTGTTACAGAACGAGCTGCTGGGATTCTGCAACAGGTCGACTGGGAATCCTTTGGCATGGAAACGTACACACACCCCGATTCTCATTCCTCATCGTTGAAACAAGAGTTTTCTTTGGAAGCCGAGCCAGCTGAAACCAATGCCCATGTAAATCAGGACTCGTATTTCAGAATGGGCTTCTCCGGTAAAGGCAGATTTGCATCGCGAATCAAGAATTACATGGACTCAACCGAAATAACACTGTTCTCAGCTAGAGGTTTGTTTGCAAGGAACAAGGCAGAATGTGACGCTGTAACCATTCAATATTTTAGTCCCCTAAGGGCATGGCACAACCTCTTGAGGAGGCCTAACTGTGAATTATACTATTCTCCCTAAAAGACAATGTTGGTTGGCTCGAAGATCTGTGTAAATATATATAGATTTTGGCTTTTATTTTGTCAGAGGTTTTATATAGATTGCAGCTTCAAGTAAATAGGCAAATATGGTGTAAGTTATTGCGTTTTGTGTTCTGGGTTATGTGCAGATATCTTTGCATAATGTCGAAAAGAAACCTCAAACCGGCTTTCACAAAAGAATTCAGAAATCTTTACAAAATATAGAAAGGAAAATGCTTAATAACCGTATATTTACCACTCAAGCATTGCAAGAAAGGAAAATGACAAATTTCTTTTTCTACTACATACACATGATGTCGCAGGCTGATTTTCTCGTTCAGAAAACAAAATTTCCGTTGCCGGGAATCGAACCCGGGTCTCCTGGGTGAAAGCCAGATATCCTAACCGCTGGACGACAACGGAATGTTTGTTAGAAATGCAGTAATATACTCCATAAAATAAACAGGCGGAAAAAGTTATAATTACACTTTTTATTTATTTATAGAGTTTTATTATTATTTATTTATTTATTTATAGAGTTTGAGGACTAATATAAAAGTTTTTATAATTTAAGGGTGATTCATGTATATATATAATATTACACATAGAAGCCACATCAATATAACCTACAATAACATGTAACTTATATGTAAAAAGATTTTAATAGTCATTTTTTAAGAGTTCAAGGTTTAATATGAAGTTTTTTAATAGCTTGATGGTGCAATTAATTTGTGGCTTGTTTGATAAATTTTTTCTATTTTTTAATAAAAATTTTAATGAAAGTATAAATAATTAGAATGTTTAATTTTTTAAATTTAAAAATATTTAGCAATTTAGAGTTTAGACATTATATTTTTTAATTTTAATTAACTTTGAGATAAATAGTATTTATTAAACGAGTTTGAAAATTTGTTCATTTATAATTGTTGACTTTAATAAACGGATATAAACGAATGCTTACTGAATACAAATATGAGTACTTTTCCCTTATTTTTGATCATCCGTCTGTGTGGGGTGCAATGGTTGTTGTGGTGGAGGGAGTTGAGAAAAAAAATCTCTCCCTATTTTGTTTTTAAACTACAAAAATAATTAGTAGAAACATTATTATATTACATAGTAAATTTTTTTCAAAAAAAAAAAAAACATAGTAAATTTGTGTATAAATAAATGTTTGATGCTCAATAATATTTTCCTGAAATTATTGAGGCCCATTTGTAAATCAAAGGAGTTGAGGGGCTTGACATGGCATATAAAACCACTGCGAATTACGGAGAACTCTGCCTGCTGGGAGCTGCCCTTCTTGCTTCAACATTCGCTACTTTCCCACTTTCAATTTCAAACTTGAACGCCTACCGCTAACCCTATTTTTCTCTCCTCTCCTATATGCGCTGAGAGGTAAGCCTCTTCAATCTCTGTATATTCATTCTTAAAATTATCAATTTGTTCTCCAGACAACTTCATTCTTCTCTACCCTTCAAGTTTTGCAGCTTGTTTGATCTAGCCAGATTTGGATTGACGTGTTTCTGAAATGGTACTTTTAATGTTTTTCTTTTTCATGGAGATAGGGTTTAGGGGTTTTCGGATTTATTTAGTTTATACAAAGATCTGTTCTTTAAATCTCCTAATGGCGATTTTTTTTTTTTTTTTTTTTTTTTAATATCAGCTTCCACTCTCTCTCCTCAAAACTGCCCAGGGGCATCCCATGGTAAGTTTCGTTATTTTTTCCTTTGTCTCTATGATATGAAATACATGTCTATTTGATCTGTTTTATTTTTGGATACTGGTTTTCCACTACACACTGTTTAGTTCATGATACTAACTTTCACGTTCAATTCTCTGATAATTTTGTTTGGTTTATTAGCAGAAATATATTGGAACTTGTTGACTTTGGGTTGATAAGGAAACCCATTTTATTTGTTTGTATAACAAATGATGCCTTGATATAACATATTATATATTTCTCATTGCAGCTGGTGGAGCTGAAAAATGGGGAAACTTATAACGGGCATTTGGTCAATTGTGATACTTGGATGAATATTCATCTCCGCGAAGTCATCTGTACATCGAAGGTATTTTATCACTTCTTAACAGATCCTTTGTAATGTAAAAGTTTCTCTTCTGCATTCTATTTGCTAGGCGTATTTTTTTAACCATTGTTCATGGTGCAGGATGGAGATAGGTTCTGGAGAATGCCAGAATGTTATATTCGTGGGAATACAATTAAATATCTTCGAGTCCCAGATGAGGTTTGGGCACTTCCTCAAATTTCTAATAGACCATTTTGGTTTCACTCTCTTCCTTGTTTTGATAATTGATATTGCATTGCAAGTAATTGTGCTAATTGTTCAACTTGGTTGAACTTGTAAATCTTCAGTTGCTTGCTTACTACGAATTCATAACCATGAACACATCTTTCTTCAAAACTAGTGTGAACCCTTGGGATGGTTACTAAGGATATGATACGGCGATACCTTTGTAAGGAGAAGAAATCCACACGAGAAACATAAAGAGATTTTTGTCTTAAAACAAATTGAAAATAAACAAAAATTTTATTCAATGAGTCAAAAAATTCAAAATTAATACAAGTTTTAGGGTATTTAAATGTATAGCTCTCACCACTGTATTCCTACCCTAGCTTCAAATCACTAAATAGGCTAATTAAAATAAAAACAAATTAAAAATCTAAGATAGGGACCCATTCTGCATGAGTAGGACTTCACACCATATGTATATTTGGAAACTCAAAACAGGAAAGTTGTAGAGATTCCTTTAACTTTCCATAGAGTTTTGAATCACCTCAATCCGGTGTGATATGAGAGAGATATGTCCATAATACTTAACACTTGTTGAAACTGTTTTCCAGATTAGAAAAGTGGCAGGTCTAAACTCTCTTAATTTAGAAAGTGACATCCTAATCATGGCTGTTGGGCTTCTAACCATGCTTGGACAGCCTCTTCTTCAACTTAACTCCCTTTTCTTTTAGCCCAGTTGCACATAATTAAATAATATACATGACTCCTCATTGGGCTTGTAAGGCTTTTCTTCCACTCGAGCTTCTTATAACAAAAATCTTGATCTAAGAGGGAACCCATCTCTCATAATATATGAATGTCATCAATATTGGGCTATATTTGTCTTGGGCCATGTCATCGAAAACAACTAATAATCATCGGTGGTGGAGGTGATAGTTAGTAGTCTTCTAACTTTAATCTACATAAGTAGTTTCCTCATGGCAATGAAACTTTTAACTATCTGCACCATCCATTCGGTCTTGGAGTCCAATGCAGTTGCTATTACCCAAGTAGTTTCATCTTGCCAATGAATACTTATATGTCATGTTCCTTCAGGAATTCTTACTGCTTCCTATGTTTTAGTACTCTGTTTGGTATAAAGCTAATCTAAAAGCGGGTACTGATTGTGGTAAAAACCGTAAAATCACAATTAAGGGTTCTAGAAAATTGAAGTGAATTATGTTTGTGCTTATTCTGACTTCTGAGAATGAATACTGTTTTTTTCTGGGATGATGCAATTTAGCCAAATCTGACATTGATGTGCTCCTTAAGGAGTTAAGGCATTGCAATATGACTACCTTTGGTAGAAGTGCATCACTTTGAAGATAAAATTGAGATTGGTTGCTTTCTGACCAGAGCTTTCATCATGCAATTATTCACTTTTAGTTTCTTTTTACAAGTTTACTAAATCATCACTTGTTTGATTTTTTCATTTATATTTTCTAGTTACATGCTCATGACTAATGCCATTTGTGGCCTTTTTCTTAGGTGATTGATAAAGTTCAAGAAGAAACAAAAAGCCGGACAGGTACTATTATAATTTGATTATTGCTTGTTTGAAGTATCACTACCAGTTAAGCGAACTACTAATATGGATTGCTACCAAAGTTGTATTCATTTTAAGGAGTGTTATTTATTTTCCCCTCACATCCAGAAATGGGAAATGAATGAACAGAGAAAAGGGGACATGTAATTTTGGAATTTCCACAAAAAAAAAGAAAGTATAGGATGTGCTTGGGACATTTGTGTTTGGTTCTAACTTAGAATTTTTTTGTGTATGTGTTGAGCAGTTTAAGCTTGGTTAGAGTTTATATTATTATGGAGTATAATTTTAAGATCATTGGAAGCCTTCCTGTATTTACTAGTCTGTGTTGTTATTTAAAAAAAATCTGATTAGGAACTCATCCTAGTTTGTTTGAGGGATAAACATTAACAAATACCATTATGTCAGCATGTTTGGAGAATATATAAGTATAACTTAGCATAAAATGGCTGCATTTCCTTTTCTTTGTCCTTTGGCTGTCTTGGGGTATAATTGTGTACTTATGGCTATGGACTAAGAACCTGCCTTGCTGGTACTGGATTATAAAACACACTTGTTCAATACATGTATCATCTGCAAACTTGATGAAGTGATGAACTATTGCCTTGACAGTGCAAGATTAAACTATTACAAGTAGAATAATGCATCTAAATTTTTAATGATAAGACTACTTGGAATATTGCTTTATTATGCTTGAAGCTTACATGATATCTTTTTGATTTTCTATTTTGTTAAAGGCAGCTAATTGACTAATACTATTGCTTTATATACTTCCACAGACAGGAAGCCACCTGGTGTCGGGCGTGGCAGGGGAAGAGGTAGAGATGATGGTGCTGCTGGCAGACAGGGAAAAGGAATTGGGCGTGGAATGGATGATGGAGGTGCCAAAGGCCGTGGGAGAGGAGGTCCTGGTGTCAAGGCTGGTGGAAAAGGTATGAATTTAATTCAATCAATTGTTATATTAATTTGTGCAATTGCCTCTCTCAGAAGCCATAACTCTATTATGTTGATGGCCTCTCTCTGAAACACCTTTGTCCCTCTTTGAATTATACTGAAAGTCTATAGGTGAGAAATATGAGGGTGTGTTTGGTTCATGGGGATAGACACAAGGAATGGGAATGAATTAATGAAAGTCATACACACATTGTTTGGTTGACAACTTTTTAAAACATAGGTATAGGATTTGATTACCCCTATAATTACAAAACTCATTACCTACTTGAAATCAGGTATCATTCCATTAACTCAGCCTTATCACTCATTTCGTCGCCTCCTCACTTCATCGACTTTCTCACTGCATTTCCTACTCACCTCATCGCCACTCTTAAGATCAATTGCCTTGATTTTTTGTTTTTGTATTTTTAAAATATTTATTCTGATTATAGGGTCATACATAACCAAACATCAATATTGGTAATCATTCTAATTTCATCCTACTACCAAACATGCAAAATACTTTCACCAAAACACATTCCAATTACCAAGTATTTGATTCCTATTCCGATTCCAATTCCCATGTTCGAACCAAACACACCCTGAAATTGTCTATTATGTACATGGTCCAGTCATGTAGTTTTAGCGTTCTTAGGTAATAATTACCTAATAGAGTTCTTGTATAGATGTGCACAATCTGTGAGGTGATTATACATGACCTCTTTATTTGCTAATTGCATTTTTTCTTGGACCGGCTTTGGTGACAGGTGGAGGTCGTGGGCGTGGCTAATATGCCCGAAGGATCAATTGATGGCAGGATTGCCACTTTTAGAGGCATGGTAGATGTGTTAATTCTGGAGTTGAAGAAACATCTCGCTTATCCTGCCTGGTGGTTGAAGGGTGGTGTATTAAAATGTATTTAGGTGTGTGTTATTCCTTTCTTTGTTAAGTGTTTAGTTGGATGGAATGTAATATACTAATCCCCTTTTGAAATGCTCACTTTATGGGAGTGGGAAATTCCCTACACATCTACTGCTATGTTGTCCTTTGGGTAAAATGTCATTTGCAAACTTAAAAGAGAACTTGATGGTATGGTGAAACTAATGGAAATTAGTGTTTTTTTTTAGTCTTACTGACTCTGTTACAACGTAGTATCTGTTCGTATATATTAGTTTTTTTTTTTTTTTTTTTTTTTTTTAATAATTAGTTTTTGAGTGACATTGACTTTATTATAATGTAGTATCTGTTCATAATTATTTTCTCAACCTGCTGAAGCACAAAGAGTCAATGCTGCTTCCACTGAAGTTCAAATTTACAACCTTTCATATGAGAGTGCAACCATAAGGTCTTGGCTTTTAATTAAGTTAATTTTCTTGAATATCTCATTAAAGATCTATAAACTACACAGTAATATTCCTAAGATTGGGAACACAAATGTGAAAGTGATTGGTATGATATGTTTGCATGTCATTATTTAATTTAATCATGACTCAAACGTATAGATATATATATTACGGAGTACAAATCAATTGTAATTAGACCCAATTCAAAACAATCACGCTATCTCAGAAACCCGACAAAAAAAAAAAGAAACCCGACAAACATGGTAACAGCGAAAGCAGAACTACTTTCTGTTACTGACAACGTTGTATTCCAGCTTTTTGTCTAACTATTACAGTTTATCCAAACACTGTCTTCTCTCAGCCTCTTTTCGTTTCAACGTTTATTAGATTAGATAGGTAGATATATGCTAGCTAGTACATACTAGTTCCATCTCAAGCTAGAAACAAAGTATTGTTGGCGATGGCTGATATAAAAGAAGAGACGAAGAATGTTGAAGCACCAGAAATGGAGAAAGAAGAAACACCGCCTCAGAAGACGAAGCGCGTGGCTTCTCTGGATATCTTTCGAGGCCTCACTGTCGCGGTATGTAGACTAGATAGGAGACATTAGAGTGAAAATATATAAATCTTATGAATTGATAGCTAGAAACTATGGATTTGTTTTTTTAGGATCTTAACACTCCGCCAGAAGGTATAGCTAGTAGCGAGAGACCCAACAATCCCTACCTATTTAGTGCTGAACTTGTCTCTTCATCAACTCTCATCACCTAGCACTTGCCAGACTTTGACCCTGTTTGGTAAAATAGTTAGCTAATTAGTCATTTTCGACTTGTTTGATCACTCTTAGCTGTTTGACTTGGTTAAATAATCAATATAAGTGTTTTGTTAATTAATTTTTTGTAATAGCTTATTGCTCGAAAACAATAAAATTCAAAAATCTGGTCAAAGAATTTTTTTTGATCAACTTTTTGATAAAACCATTTTATATGTAACTAATTATCAGCTAATAGTTAATTTACTAAACATCTTTTATACAATCAACACATTAACCTAATCAGGTAACAACTAACATCTATTTATGAAACACCCCCTTTAACTTGTCTACCTTTCTCTCCTAGCCACCTGATACTGGACTTGACCCTTCACCAGTCTTGCCCAACATGGTTACTTTGAAGTCGGCCAAAGTTGGTCTAAAAATCACTTTTGATGTGTTAACCTTGGGTTTATATATATATATATATATATATATATATATATATATATATATATATATATATATTATTGTGTATTTGGTTACATATTGTGATTGTGTTTGATCAGTTGATGGTGTTGGTTGATGATGCGGGAGGAGAGTGGCCTGTGATAGGGCATGCGCCATGGAATGGCTGCAATCTTGCTGATTTTGTGATGCCATTCTTTTTGTTTATTGTGGGAATGGCTATTGCACTTGCTCTCAAGGTTTGATCTCCATCTCTTATATATTTCCCTTCAATGCCTAATGAAATTGCAGCTTAATTGAGAATAATTATAGTTATTATGTGTAGAGAATACCAGAAAAGCTAGTGGCTATCAGAAAGGTGATCTTAAGGACCCTAAAACTTTTATTTTGGGGACTCCTATTACAAGGTTGGTTAGCTCTTCAATTTATATATATATACTATATAGTCAAGCTAAACTTAGCTACTTCTGCGTTTTCTTGTTTAGTTTATATTGGGAAGGAAATTGTTTAGTGCATTGCTGAAGGTTTGCTGGATATTATTTCCTGAGAGAAAGCTAAGTGAAATTGTTTAGTCTATCAGCCAATTTTGGCTTGTTTGATTACTACTCGCCGTTTGACTTGGTTAAACAACCAATATGAGTGTTTAAGTAGTTAGGTTTTTGTAGCAGCTTATTGCTCCAAAACACTAAAATTCAAAAAGCTGCTCAAAGCAGTTTTTTCGATAAACTTTTTGAGAAAGTCATTTTGTATGTAATCAACTATCAGCTAACAATTAATTTACCAAACATCTTTCTACAATCAGCTGATGTTATCAACTTGTCAAACTCACTAACTCAATCAGCTAACAACTATTTACCAAACACTCCCTAAATGTTTTGCCACACCTGAAAATGATTGCATTTCTAATAGTAGCTTTTTTTTCCAACTGTGAAGGAGGCTATTCACATGCCCCTGACAAACTAACATATGGTGTGGACATGAAAAGGATAAGGTGGTGTGGCATTCTCCAGGTAATGTTGTACTTTCATTTTTTTTTTTTTTTTTTTAAATAAATCTTTTGAATTGGATATCTCTCTTGTTGATCTTATGCATGGATGCATAATGAGGCTTTACTTGAATGCCCTTTTCTAGAGGATTGCTCTTGCTTATTTTGTGGTGGCAATGGTAGAGATTTCAATGCAAACATCCCAGGCTAAGGTTCTATCCCGGGAACGATTCTCCATATTTAAGCTATACTATCGACACTGGTGAGTCTATCCGACTTTAATCTGCAGTCTCCTCGATTGGCAATGGTTTCATATGCCTAATTGCCTATACTAGGATTGCAAAACTAAGTTTAATATAGTACAGGGTGGTTGGAGGTTGTGTTTTAGTGGTTTACTTGGCAACATTGTATGGAACTTATGTTCCTGACTGGCAATTCCTTGTGGAAAATACAGACAGTCCCGACTTTGGGAAGATCTTAACTGTGAGTAGTAAGTCTTAGTTTTCCTATAATTCCTCGATCAGACAGAAAATTATTATTATGTTGTTAAAATTTGTTGGTTTTAAGGTATCTTGCAATGTCCGAGGGAAACTGGATCCTCCCTGTAATGCAGTGGGTTATGTTGACAGACAAGTGCTAGGAATCAATCACATGTATCCACATCCGGCCTGGAAGAGATCTAAGGTGATGATACATTTGTCGTTCTTTTAATTGAAGCATGTGCTCCATTTGAACTAAAAGCTAAGCCATATAATGGGACTGGCTCTGATACCAAATTGAAGTATTGATATGCAAGTTCGGGTTCTGATTTGAAGAACTAACTGCAGGCTTGCACGAAGAGTTCTCCACACGAGGGGCCATTCAGAAATGATGCCCCGTCGTGGTGTTGGGCGCCTTTTGAACCAGAAGGAATACTGAGGTAGGATCATATATATATATATATATATATATATATATATATATATATATATATATATATATATATATATATATATATATATATATATATATATATATATGTTCCATGTCTGATATGATTATGATTACAGCTCAATTTCTGCTATCCTCTCTACTGTTATTGGAGTTCATTTTGGACATGTTCTTATCCATTTCAAGGTGAGATCTGCAACTGTCATGCATTTAATTACTATTAAATTGTTTCTAATCACATAATCCATCATATCATTATAGTTGTTGGGGTTAGGGGATTGTTGGGCAGAAGCCTAAATGGCCAAGTCTAGCACCCTGTCCCTCGATAATGTGGCTGGCATAATGAATAAAGTTGCGCCTTCCCTACGAGCTATAGCTTTTGGTGTAGCAGTAAACACTTATCCTAACAAGTGGTATTAGAGCTAGGTCCTTTTTTTTGTCAGACCACAAGGTGTCCTAACAAGCCCTAACTGTAGGAGACACCTTTAAGCGAGACACCTTTAAGCCCGTACCATAGACTAATCCCCGTTCACCGGACCGGCCCAATTAAGGGGCAAAGTGCTGGCCAGATTGATTTTTTCATATGAGAGAGGGTTCGAACTCCCGACCTCTCTTAAAGGACAAGAGTGCACGGCCACTCGCGCCAACCAAGCTGGTTTTAGAGCCAGGTCCTTTGAGTCCCGGTAAGAGTAAACTCGAAAACCGTGGCGGGTATAAGGAAATAAAGTTGCGCATTCGCTACGAGTTATGAAAACGCTTGATTCTAACAATAGTGTTTTTGAGTGCCAGGATCATTCTTCTCGACTTTTGCATTGGATTGCCATGGGAGTTGTCCTTCTGCTTCTAGGAATCATCCTTCATTTCACAAATGGTAAAGATCAAATTAAAGCTTCTGAAACACATAATTTCTTTTGAATTTCTTTCATTCCTTACATACCCTTCTTCTTTGGCTGCAGCCATTCCCCTAAACAAGCAACTCTACACTTTGAGCTATGTCTGTGTGACATCTGGAGCCGCCGCACTGGTGTTCTCAGCCTTCTACATTCTGGTAAGCCATTGCATCAAAGTTCATTGTTAAGGTTGTCAAATTGGAAACAAAAGAAAGTTACCTAAATTCCTTGTGCAGGTTGACATTGGGAAGCTCAGATATGTGTTTATGCCACTGGAATGGATTGGGATGAATGCAATGCTGGTTTATGTCATGGCAGCTGAAGGCATTTTTGCAGGTTTTATCAATGGCTGGTACTATGATGATCCTCACAACACACTGGTATATATCGCCTTCATCCCTTTCGTTTCGTTGGAACAAGAATTTCTACAAAGAGTTTTTATTATTGATCAATCATATTTACAAAGTACAGGAAGAGATGTATTCTAGTCTTAGCTATATCAGGACTAGTAAAAGTAGAGTTTACAATAATGAGTTAATTCCATCTAGGGTTTTCTGAGTATAGTTGGTTTTGTCACGTTTAGTAACTTTCAAATGACCATCCATGGTCCTTCGATTTTCAAATTGTTACCATTTGTAGTCCAAGTTAACCACCATGATCATTAACTTTCAAAATTTAACCAGTCGCGATCCTCTTGGAAGGACCATGGGTGATTAAAATTTGATAGTTGAAAACCATGGGTGGTTACCTTGGACCGCAGATG